GGGTCACTCTGTAATACCCATAGCTATATCTTCTCCAGCATCCCCGCTCAGTGAGCCTTGCCTTCCATACGCTCTCCCTCAGCACACAGCAACATTACTGTGGCTTACAGATGCCTTGCATTAGTTATTTATGTATGTAATTTCCATGTTCGACTCAGCCTTGCTCATCTATAATCTATGTAACAGTTATCATCATAACTGTGAATGCTGTATAGTTTCCAAGTACTTTTTTCCAGTCACAATCTTATTTTATGTACAATGTCTCTGGGGTAAGTATTTCTTGTTGTATTCAGTTTTATAGGCATAACCATGGAGACTTGGAGAGGTGAGACAGCTTGCCCAAAGTCACACAGCTAGTTGCAAGGTTGAGAGCAAATGTAGTGGTCCTGTCCTCTTATTGGAGTAGAGTATTCTTTATAGGATTGAAAAACTAAGGTTGGTTACAGTTTTATTCAAACTCCCAACCATCAATTCATATCCTGTAGATATTTATTAATCACTTATGTGCCAGGAATTATGCTGGGTTTTATAGAGGCAGCAGTGAATAAGATGGTCCTTGACTTATAGGATTTTGAGGGTAGTAGGGACATAGCTAATAAACTGCTTGACAAATAAAGAAATGGAATGTGATAGGTTGAGTTCTCCCCCCAATATATATCCATCTCCATATGCTTGGGACCTGTGAAGGTTACATTTTGTGGCCAAAGGGTCTTCAGTTTAGTTTAGTTGAGGACTTTGAGATGTACCATTATCCTGGATTGTCCAGGTGGGCCCAATGTGATGAGAAGTGTTCTTAGAAAAGTGATGTGGTAGGATGTGAATGAAAGAGGATCTGAAGGTGGAATTGGAGATGCAGCCAATAGCTTTATAGATGGGAGAGGTGCTGGCTAGGAAGGAAGGCAACCTCTGGATTCTGGCAAAGACAAGGGGCTGGACTTCCCCTTCCCGCTGAGCCTTTGGAAGCATGCAGCAGACTCAACTCACCTACTCTAGACTTCTGACTTCCTGCACTATCAAATAATAAATCCAGTTTGCTTGGAGGCATTAAGTTTGCAGTAATTTGTTACAGATGTAATAGGAAACTAATACATAAGGCAATTCCCGATTACGATCAAAGCTATGAAAAAAGACATTAAACAGAGGTAACAATGGGATAGGCCCCTCCTGAGGAGTGGATGAGGGAACCGACCAGGAGGAGCCATCCAGGCAGAGGGACCTGCAGGTGGGAAGACCCAGAGGAGGAGGAACAAAGGCTGCGCTGGGGTGGCCAGACTGCAGTGAAACACAGGAGGGTGGGATTAAAATGAGGTTGTAGTTAGAATAGAGTTAGAGCACACAAAGACTTTTAGGCCATAACATTTGTTTTTTTTCAGTGAAAGAAATGAGAAGCTCTTGAATTTTAATAGAGAGGAAGGTAAATTGTCATCACATTGCCCAAAGTTGCCCACATGAGGAACCCTTCCTTTGGGTGATGGAATCTCAGCTTTGGCAAAGCTAGTTTGCCCTCCATGTTAATGCCCCTGTGTTCTACCACATTCTTAGAATATGTCCCATCTCTATTAAGACACACGGGCTTTTTTTCCCTCCTACATGTCACTTCAGTCCTTTAGGGGGCCGGTTCCCTGGTGTAACTGTAGGCAGGAGACCGTGCTGTCACCTTGGGTATGATTATTACAGTGAAGGCTGACCTGAGATGAGGGTTAGTGAATTTAGGAATGCTTCTGCCCAGGGGCAGAATTTCCCATTTGAAGTATTACTCTAAACATCTTGCTTATTATTTGCTTCATCTTTAGACTGGAAGCTGCATGAAATCAGGAAGGTTTCACATTTGTACTTTTATTCATTTATACTTTTATCCTTATATTTCCAGTTTCAGCACATGGGATGCACTCAAAAGGTATTCATTGAAAACATGAGTAATAAATCAATAAGTTAGGCCTATGAGGACCAACTAGCAGGAAAATACAAACCTCAAAACAACCTATGGTCAGTTCTACAAAGGGCCAGTTTAAAAATAAGAATTTGTTACAATGCAATTTATACTAGGGAGCATGGTAAGTACAAGGCAACTTCCCTGCCATGTAAAACACTGGATGAATCCAGAACCCAGAGGGCAGAGCTACGTAAGGGTATACAGAATGCATGCACTCATATGTATAGAACACCTAACCGGCACCTCTGCTACCACATGTGTTATACACAACATCTGCCCACATCTGGCCTTCCAACTTTCTGTCCAATTTCAGAAGCTTCTTCCACCACTTCACAGTAACTTGTCATCCTTCTGATGTCCACTTCCCTCAGCAAGCCACAGATCTTTCTCAAGGAAAAGTACCATGTTTATTATAATATTTACGCAATCAATATACCTAGAACAGGGCCGCTATTATATTACATTCCTATCTTTCTTTGAAAAACTGTGACATTGGTGAAGTTTTTGAGTGTTGTTCCCTAACTCTTCTTCCCCTCTAAATTCTGTGGTTTTTAGTGGATGGATCTGCATAGCGATGTAATTTTCCAGAACACATGTGCAGCTTGATGGGAGAACTGACTGTACTTTCTTCTGTCTGCAAAACCAGCAAAACAAGAAAATACACACAATGATTAGGGAGAAATTGAAGTTGAACCAATATGCACTAAGAATGATTCATGATATCCTTCTGGTTCTGGTGGATAAAACAATCCTCTTATTACTTATTCATTATTTCATTTATCCTTTCATGCACTTATTTATTCTAAAAATATTTTTATTGAATGCCTACTATGTGTCAGGTCCTGAGATAGGCTCTCATGATACAGCAGAGAACAAAATTAGTCTTAAAAAGTCTTAGAGTTGAGAAAAATGATATATAAACAAAAATAATGACTATTCACCTTAATTGTAGGCTTACTCCATATCAGGCACAGTGATAAGCCCTCTAAATATATCATTTTACTCCTTTCAATGACCTAGTGTTATTGGTAGGTATTATCAGTAAGTGAGGGAAGCTTTACTATTCTTCCCATTTTCCAGGTGAATATACTGAGGCTGATAGCCAGCATTTATGCTTAAGCAGTTAAGACTCCAGAATCTGTTCTCAAGAATGCTCTGGTTACCCTGCCTCTGTTTGTTTACTTCCTATGGTGAGTAGCACACTACCTTCTCATTTTCGGGGAAAGATGGAGAACACTTCTTCCAACTTTGGCAGTCTGTCAAAGGGAGGATACCTTGGGGGCCACTGCCTTTGGGGGTGCAGAGGAAGATAAAGGGCAATCTGAAAGGATACCAAATTGTACTGTTTGACATAATATTTTCATAGGAAATTGTGGGGTTGGGCAGAAGAGAGGAGGGTGAAAGAGAGATAGGATTACATCACTTAGTGGACAGCAAGAGTCCATGGGGATAGTGGCCACTAAGGAAGTTTGTGGAGAGGTGGCCCCAGGCTTCCAGAGGCTAGAAAATCCTTCCCCTTGTGTTTTTAGGTTTTGTGCTGATGTGAACTATACCATTACCCAGACGGGCAACCCCCCACAGCCTGTGGCACCCCTGGAAAAGATCAAAGCTCAAAGGTCATGATTCTCACTGGGTTGGAATGAAACAGGGGTAGGAGAGCCCCTGGGCATGGCCTGGGGTGGTGGTCAGTCACTTTGGTCATCCCTCAGCCAAGGAAGTCAGAGCCAAGGAAGAAATCAGAACCAGCTGTGCAGTGAGGAATTCCCTAGTTGTAGGGCATTTGAAGACATCTGGAGAAGCCTGGAGTGTAGCTTGGCGTGTTCAGGACACTTTTTTACACAATTCTGAGAAGACTAAGGAATCTTGGATGGTCTGTGGGTGACAGTAGATAGGAGCAGGGGCTCTCAAGTCAGGAAACTGGATTTGACTTCGGTTTGGCCACTTGCTATAAACAGGAGTGACTGTAAACAACGCCTGCGCCTCAGCTTTCTTCATCTACAGCAGGAGAGGACCTTTCTGACCTTGTGGGCTGTTCTGAGCATTAAATGCATGTAAAACATTTAGCACAATGCTTGGCATAATAGTCGTCCAATCAATAGTGTTAGAACCAACTCCAATAATGGAGTGTAAACAGCAGACTTTTGCTCCAGTTAAGGTTCAGATCCAGTTCCACTATTTACGAGGTCTATTTATCAGTCAGTGCTTGTAACTGAATTTCTCTGGTTCTCAGCAAAATGGGGGGAGTGAGGACTGTCTAGGAGCCTGTGGTGAGGGTTAAGTGAGCATCTAGAGCAGCGATGGTGAGCTTTTTAGAGCTTTCAATGCTAACAAGTAGCCCGCTGCAGCATGTGTGCCATAGATTCTCCACCATCCGCCCAGAGCATGCCCAGTACACAACTGGACACCTAGGAGATGTCCAATAACCAGGGCCCAGGATAATCCAGATGTCTTTTGTGAGTTAGAGAAGGACCCCCTTCTCTTGGGCAAAACGACCTTCAGTTTCAACCCCGTGCACCACCAGCCTGGGTACCTTTGTGCACTGTGCAAGTTGTACATCTATAGGCTGTGGCTTGCCAACGATGGAAAGATGTTATGAGTATGTTAATTAATATTTTTTTGCCTCTGACTTGCCGCCTGACCAAGTCTATTTCTGGGTTGCAAGAACAGCGCCCCTTCTTACTCCTCTCTCCTGACTCCAGCTGTCCTTCTTGTGACCTGGCACCTGCACTCCGCTCCCCCACTTCCACCCTCTCCTCCTCAACAGGCAGCGTTCTGGCAACTTCCTGCAGCTGGCCTGGAGACCACTTGGCTGGGGAGCTGGGTTAAGGACCTCTTTCTGCCTCAGAGCCTCTGCCGAGATCATCCAGTGCTTTAATTGCCCACAGCCCTCAGAAGGCAGCAACGTCACTGCCCACAAAGGCGCAGATCCTCCAAGGGGAGCTGGGCTGGCTGTGGGGCCCTCACAGGTTATTTTTAGTGTTTGACCACGAAGGTGCCAGGAGAAAATGCCAAGCTGGAAGGCAGCCTGCCCACCCAGGGCTTCGCTCCAAGAGGCCTGCCTGCGACTTTCAACCCAGCCCTTTGTGGCTGTTCTGCCTGCCTGGCGAGGCGTTCAAGCTTTGTTGATGTGGCCTCGGTCCCTCCGATGGAAGCCAGCCTGAGCTGTGAAGACAACAGCCCCAGGTGCCTAGGCTGGCCACTTCAGCCGAGTGCTCAACTCAAGGACAATGCTGAGCACCAAGGGACTCAGCGTTCCTCGTGTTCCCGCCAGGCCTGAGCAGTAGGAAATGACCACGTAAATTCACTGTATGGGTAAGATTTCATTGTACTGTCTTGGCTGTTGTGTCCTTAAGAATATTTATTCAGCAGAGTGATGAAAAGGGTGGCCCCCTGGGTGGCCTCCCTGCTTCCCACTGGTTATGTGATACCCTGGATCCCAGCTTCTTGTCTGTAAAGTGGGAGTAAGAAGAGCACCCACTTAAGGTGGTTGAATGACAGGAAGCATGAAAGGCACTAGAATTCAACTTGGCCCTCAGGGTAAGCTCAGTAGATGCTGGCTATTGGTGCTGTTACTTCCAAGGCTGGGCCAACATTGGACCTGCATCCTGGCTAATCCTCACAGCCACTTGGAGAGGGATTATTAATCCCATTTTTCAGAAGAGGAAAGTGAGTCCCAGAGATACAAATGGAATCCCTAAGGACACACAGATAGAAAGGGTAAGAGGTGGGCCTTGAACTCAGGGTTCTGCCCTCCCCTGTTCAAGGTGAGCTGGAGTTTGCTGTGGGCTGTGTGTCTCTGGGAGTCTGAGAAGAGGGGACATGTGCCACAGTGAGAGTAGTGTGTGCATGTGTGTGTGTGTGTGTGTGTGTGTGTGTGTGTGTGTGCTGACTCAGAGGAGGAGGCAAAGGGTTGGGACTCAGCACCCAGATTAACAAGAATCAGGCTCTCCTTTCCTCCCCCAAGACTGTCACTGTGTCCAGAGATGAATTACTAGAGAAGTGGCCTCAGAGTTATTTGGAAGCACCCCGCCTCATCTACATATGGAATTACTTGCCAGTCACATCTTTGCATAGTGGCATGGCATTGTGAAAGCCAGGGGCTGGCCTTTATGAGTGCCTCTGCTGGACTGGATGTGGCCTCTATAGCCTGGTGTCTGGGTTATGTCTCTCTCAGCCCCACTTGCTTTGCCCTGTCCCTGACCATTCTGTCTTCTAAGTGCCTCTCATATGCACTGTTTCTTTCTTGACCACTGCTACCGTCTGGCTTAAACCTGCTTCTCTCTGCAGGACCCTTGCCACAGCCTGCTTGCTGGTCTCACTTGATGCAGGGTCACACCTCCCACCCACAGGGGCTGCCTGAGGAGGTGGGCCCCTCTGATGTGAGTTTCATGGAGGCACTTTCCTCTTTACATCTCTTCCTGGCTTTCCAGGTCAGACATTGGATATTGTGAACTTCTAGCTCTCACCCAAGTCCCATTTCTAGTTCCTTCCTCTATCCTCAAGTACCTCCTTTGGGACCTGATGATTTCCAAAGGTGTGTCCCCAGGAAATACATCTTTAGATTATTAATCGGTGGGAGCCTACACAGGGGAATCTGGGAAAAGTCCTGGATAAGCTTCAGCAAGGTCATTCATTATGGGATAGCTCAGGGACTCGGTATAAAATTTTTCTGGTTAATCCCAGGCAAGGCTGCCTTGAGCTCAGTTGGATGCTCCATGGCTCTGACTCCATGCTGACACTGTTCTGTGGGCTCAGGTTGCGTTAACTCATGCCATCCCCACACATCCAGAAAGCAGGGGCTATCCCCATAGCCTGTTCTGTGAATGAGGAAACTGAAGCACAGAAAAGTTACGCAGCCCCTTAGGTTCATCCAGTTCTTTGGCAGAGAAGCTGATTCCCAAGCAGACACTGCAGCTGTGAATCAGCGCTGGGAGCCACAGCCCTAGACCCGCTCAGGGGACTGCCTATGTCCCCCATGTGATACATACCCACATTCACTGTTTCCTTGATGCCCCACCAACCCCATTGTTATTATTCTGATCTTTATTGTTACAGAAACAGAATGAAGAGAGCACACGCTAGCCAAGAGGTACTGGAATGAGTTTTGAACTCAGGACTCTATGTGACTCATGAATCTATCTTGCCTTGCTCTGAACAGAACAAGGAATCCTTACATTAAGAGCATTTCACACTGTGTAACAGCGCTGGTGAACCTATGGCACGCATGCGGCCGCAGGCTGTTTGTTATCATGGAAAGCTCTAAAGGGTTCGCCATCACTAGTGTAGAATTTACACTGGAAGCACTTCTCTGGCTCTGTGGAAGTATTTACCACTGCCAAGTTGTATCATCTGTTTTCCAGTACAGAGATACTGCCTGTGCTCTTCCCAGGGCCTGGAGTATCATCTCTCTCTCCAGTGCTCCTGGCATCAAGAAAGATCTGAAATAAAGTCCCATCTCCTCCATTTCTCAGACTTGCCCCTTCCAAGCAGTTGGTCCTGTTTCTTCCATGGCAAGCTATGAATATTATGCAGCCATAATTGGTTATAGATAGGGTGGATTCTTCCATTCATTTACTTTCTCCCCTGCCATTCCTCCTTCCATTCATCCACTTCACAAATATTAGCTGAGCAACTACTAAATACCTGGCTTTGTTTTAGATCTTAGGGAGACGGCAGTGAAAAACCAGACACCCAGTAAGGCCCATGTGGAATTTACTTTGTAACTGAGGAAAGAATATACCATGAGAAAACTGCATTAGAATTTTTGAAGGTGAAGGAGGTTGGAAGGGCAGGAAATGGGGAAAGATCTCACTTTTAAATAGGGTCCTGAGGCTGTGAGCTTTGAGCAATGTGGAAGCAGGCCAGCTGGAAATCTCAGAAGGCTGAGGCAGGAGGAGCAAAGGGATACAAAGGTCTGTGCAGAAGGTGTGTTCTGGCCAGTGGAGGCAGCGGGCAGCAGACTGGCAGCAGGGCAGGTGAGCAGGGAGTGGCAGGAGGTGCGGAGGGAGACCGGTTAATTTGGACTGCTTAAGGAAACTTCACACTTTCCCAGTGTGTTATTTCCAAACTTTTCATCAGCATTTTCAAGAAGGAGGATCTTCATGATGAACTGAAATATGGGTGATCACTAAACGTGTAATTTGCACCTGAAAATCCAGGGGGCAGTGGGAAAGCCCCAAGCAGAGGTATGGGCCTGCTTTCACTTTGGTCTTGGGCAGTCTCCTCCCTTCTTGATCTGTTTTGTCATTGTATAAGGGACTCATGTCTCTTTCCATGCTGGCTTCACGCTGTGCCGGGAGCCTCTGCCTGGCCTGCTTTTCTGTGGAAGAGGGTTAGGATACCTTCTCTAGTCTCACTTTGGATCAGGGTGTCAAGGCAGACAGCACAGGTACCTTTCTTTGGTTTTGCTTTTTTAAAAGTAAAACCGGCCTCCAGACTTGCTAGTCTTCCCAGAAGCTCTACCATCCCATGGCAATAACCACACCCAGCAACCTTGTGTAAGGGAGCATTTCCTTTTACTGCTGCACTAGCAACACCACGGCTGGCACTGCCAGATCTACTTTATGGTGGAGGAAACTCTACCTCAGAAAGGCCAATTCACTTGCCTGAGGGTACAAGTTAGTCATCTGAGGACTCTGGATTCTAATTCCAGGATGTGTGAGCTGGTGCTGATGATTTCCCAGTTGCGCACAAAGGTGAGGCTGAGGCTAAGTTCACAGACAGGGAGAAAATCCACCCAAAGATGGAAAACCAGACAAAGATTCTGAGGTGATCGCTGCAGCTAGCCTGGAATCAAATGGGAAAGAGAGTAGGATGGGCATGGGTAAGGTGAACCACAGGCCATGTGTGGGAACCAGAACTGCAGACTGAGGCGCCAGGCCAGCTCAGAGCAGGGAGTGACATGGAGAAGCTGCTGGCCAGGTCCAGCTGCAGCTCCGGGTACCAGGGGGCTGAGAGGTCCATACTTAAGGCCTTAGCAGGGTGTCGGTGGTTGGCAAAGGACCAAGAATCCCAGCTTTACCCAATGGGATACAGTATTAAAAATATTAAAGTAACATCAAGAATCCTACACAATGAGAGAAAAATATAAAGGAAAAGAAAGAGCAAGAAGTAATTTTACATTTTAATATAATGTATGTATGTATACATACATATATATACATACACACATTGTATTAAAATAAAGAAACTAAATAAAACTATCTTTATTAACATTTCCACACTAGTGATAAGATAGACAGATTGGAATTAGATATGGAAAAATGTAATATTCTGCAAAGGAAACTCTGGGGAGGCCCAGGGAGTTATGAAGGTCATTTCTCATTAAGGGTGAACTTTTCTGTTCTTTCCTCCACTGACTTCATCCTAACTAAGCCTCTGCCAGAGCCAGCGATTCCACACTCTTTTTGTGCACTGGAGACAGGCTGTGCCACCCAAGGCCCCCCTCAGCGAGTCAGCACCACGCTATTTTTAGGTCTTCCAAACAACTAATGGGATTGTTGTCCGTTTTCTGGTGGCCTTTTTAGCTGCTCTGTAGTTAAACAGCAAACAGCATATTAACTCTGAAACACTTGGACACCTAGGATGGAGAAAAATGGTGATTCAGATGATGACTGAATGCCAGAGGTAGGAGCCCCTTTAGGCCTTGATGTAACCTGAATTTCCAAGACTGCTCATTGGCTGCAAATGTACATGAGAAGGCCCACCCCATAAGACACATTGCTACCTGTGATGTCCCTGTCCACGGAGTCAGGAATGTTCAAGGATGACATGAGATGCTGTTGGTGTGGTTCCCACCAGAGCGAATGTTTGTTGGAGTGAGACAGCACATATGAAACACTTGGCCTAGGAGCCCATTGTTGGAGAAGGCTGTGAGTTGAACTGTTTTCCTCCCAAAAGAAAATGCTGGAGTGCTAAGGCCTAGTGACCTCAGAATACGACCTTATTTGGAAATAGGGCTTGAAGGGGTCAACAAATTAAGTGAGATCATTTGAGTAGTTCATCACGCCTTGTGCCTGGTTCCTTATGAAATCTATGAAAAGATTTGACACAGATCCAAATAGAAACCCCCATGTGGAAGTGAAGGCAGAGATCAGGGTGATGTTTCAATAACCCTAAGATTGCCAAAGGTTGCCAGAAAACCTCCAGAAGCTAAGAGAGGCATAGTGCAGATTCTTTCCTATGAGAAGGAAGGTACGTATATATATCAACTCCAAGAGTTTGACATATGCTTAGACGCTCCCTGAGCATTTGTCATGGAATGATCACCAGAGCTGATAGGTTTTTATTAGCACAGGTTCGTGGTATGTAAT